GGGACAGGCCAAAAAAAAAAAAAAAACAAAAACAAAAAAAAAACAATTCACTTTAACAAAAGCCTTACTTTTTCATTGGTCTTTTTTACCATCAAAATAAAGCAGGATCTGTAAGTTGGGACAGATACTTAAAAATGGATTTGCTGGTTAAAATATAAAAAAAAAAAACGCCCAGCACTCCTGTAAAGTCCCATATTTGATCACACAGTAATAAATAACAAACAAACAAAAAATCTTAGTCACAAAGTGTGTGAAGACACTTTCACCATGTTACAAAAGTGCTGCTTATCTACTTCATCCTGTCTGCGTTTCCTCAAATTCATCATGGAGTAGGCACATCCTGGAGCGTGCATCAACATTAGACAAGTGGGAAGAATCAATCGAAAGTGGCTCGAACAGTGTCAGAGAGGTTTGTGGGTTTTTTCTCATTTGGCTTAAGAGCAGTGCTGGTACTCAAAACACATGATCTGAAAGCAAAGTAAGCAGCAGCTCCAGAAATACCAGCAGCAGTCTTTCCCACACCTTTCTATCAACAACACTTCTTTGTCCACTAAGCCGTTAAAACAGCTTTACTCTCTTCATCAGAGACCAGGGGGACGCACTTGCATTCCTCATCCAGCCAGGTACTGTGTGTGAAATTTTGAGGTGAGAAATGAATTTAATCCATTTTTGGAATTGGGCTATAATATGACAAAATGTGGAACGAGTGGAGTCCTGTAAACTCTGGATGCACCGTGTATATGAGGCTCTGCAAATGAGCAGAATGCTGTTTAGCTGTGGAAATCAGGCGTGGCACACCTGGAGCAGAAAGCAGCTCTCTTTCATGAAGAGGTCAAAAGGTAACAGTGGGCGTAACAGTGTTAGTGTCTGATTGTCTACATTGGTCTTCACAAGACACTCCAAAAATAAATATGATAAATTGCTCGTTGTTTTTTAATTTAGATCCACTCGTAATAAATAAAAGCTGTAGTGTTCAAAATATTTCTGTAATCACAAGGCTCCGCCCATTTTACTGAGGTCCATCCGTAATCAGAGTCCTGACATCGCATCTGAGCTGGAGTGTTGGAAAACTACTGTAAACCAGTGAACCAGAGGAAGCATCTCAGTTAGAAGTAAAAGTAACCAGACCAGTTGGCCTGTGTGTCTAACCAGTAAGTCATACTTTCACTGCTTATGAAGAAACAAAAGTGAAAAGCTTTTCCTGAAGCCTGTGTTGCTCAGTCAGCTGTGCCAGTGTGTGTCAGTGTGCGACTGTGTGTGTGAAGCAGGATGGAGGGATCCAAGTGTCCACCGGTGATTGTAGAGGGGGACTGGACTCCGGCTCAGACCAAAGCCCTGAAGAACAAACTGCAAATTTACTTCATGAGCAGGAAGAAGTCGGGCGGGGGAGACTGCCGGGTGGAGGCGGAGGAAGGAGCACCGAGGGCGGCTGTTTACTTCAACTCAGTGGAGGGTGAGAGTCTGCTTCATGGGTTAATATTTTATATCCTCATATCTGTCTGGTTGCTGGAGTCTTTTAGAAATGTGTATTTACAGCCAGGAAATGATCCCACAGCAGCAGTTTGATTGGATTAGAACAAACTGCAGATTTACAGCTTCAAACAGCTGATTTTTAAAAGTGTGTGAGCTTGTATTCATGTCTTTATGGGGACCAACAATTGGAAGTTTACTTTGCTTGTGGGGACCAAAATCCTGGTCCACACAAGTTTGAAGGCCTTCCTGAGACTCAAAATGTGGTTTTAGTGTTAGGGTTACAATTGGGTTACGGTTAGGTTTAAGGTCAGGGTTAGGCATTCATTTTCCATGGTTAGGGTTAGGGGCAAGGCAAAGCATTATGTCCATTACATGTCCCTACAAGATATGAATACCTGTGTGTTTGATTTGCTGTGATTTCAGCGAGAGAGCGAGTCCTTGCGAGGAAGGATCATGTGATCACCCTGGACAGTCAAACCATTCAGTTATGGCTGAGCTCAGCAGCAGTAAGTCCAGTTTAACAGGTTTCATGTGGATTTTTCCTCACTCAACTGCATATTTTCTGCTGCTATCATGGCTCTTTGTGTGTTTTGTACGTTGCCGTATGATGGGGTGTGGCTCCTCTGAGCTCCAATAATAACCAGCCTGACTGGCAAGATGATGTCATGTGTTCGTTGGGGTTAAATCTCCCACTTTACACTCTCCTCTCAAAGATTTAGTGATGTTCGATTCATGAACGAATCATTCAATACTCGAGAATCACTTCACTTACTCGTGAATCATGATTCACAAGCGCAACTGACTCACTGACTCATCCCTGTTGCTGTTAGCAAACTAATTCCATTAGTAGAAATATATCTAGCTTATAATTAAAATTGTGGGGGGAAAAACAACAGCCAGTTTATTGACAAAAACATTCCTGCTTTGAACTGGAAGAAAAAACCCTGAGTAGAAGCTCACATCAAGACAATAGCTCCTCGGTTCACAGTAGCATCGCTCAGCTGGCATTCTAACAGCGCATTTGAGTTACTCACCCCCTCCCTCCTGTGCTGAATCATAGCGTAAGGCGAATCACTCACCCCCTCCCTCCTGGCTCACAGCTTCTTCTTCGTCTTCTTGGTTGGCAACCAATGTTAAGGCACTTTACCGACCCCTGGCTCACAGCTCCGTGGACATTTAGATGAGAAAATATATATTTGACACATTTAAGAAAAATACTAATAAAATAAAAATAAATAAATGTTTCCTTTGGAATTTTTTTGCTCTTTTTTGCTCTAAAGAAAATAGTTGTTTTCTTTTACAATCATTCTTCTTAGCAGTAGGATATACATTAAAAGAGAAACAAATTAAGTTTGAGTGAAAATATACATTTTTGCACTCTCTGGTCAACTGACTCAGTGACTCAAATGACTCAAGAAACCCGATTCACTTTGGTGAGTGACTCATTAAAACTCGATTCAGTAAAAAGAATCGAATTTACCATCACTACAAAGATTCACAAAATAAACTTTTGCCTTTAATGTCACTAATCGTTCCTCACAGCTACAGCATGTTAACACTGGACTGTTTAGAAAGAAAGTCACATGCGTCGTGTAATGTGATGTTAGAAATGCTAATCAGAGACAGATCAGAGTTTGCACAGGAGCAAACTTCGGATTTTTAACTTTTGCTTAGACAACAGAAGCAATCTGAGGATTTCAATTACACATTTTCACATTTAATATATTCGATAAAGTAGTTAGATATCACATTTATGAAAGAAAAAAAAGTTCTCTTATTGTATAAAGTGATATAAAGTAAAGTAACAAAGTCCTGAAGCTGGATATGGGCTCAGTTTCTGTGAGACGACGGCCTCATGCAGCACCAGTTCTCCTTCATGGTGTAAACTTCTAAAAATGAAATAGATGCTTATTTGGCGTTTCCTGTTTCCTCTCTGCTCCACACTGAACTTCACTGCTCTCCACGTTCCTCCTGACTCCATCATAACTCTACTCAAATGTGATTGTAAAGCACTTTCAAAGTTCTTGCTTTTTTTTAAATTTAATTTAATTTAATTTAATTTAAGTTATCTGTATTACATTTCTCTGTTCATCACTTTGGCCAACACTTGATGTCTTTTAAATGTGCTATATATAAAGATGACTTGACTTTAAATTTCACTTCCACTTCAACAGGGGGCAGATTTTTATTTTTTTATTTACTTTCATTGAAACAAATTGTGAGTTCATAAAAGTGGATCCACCAGAATCTCAAGAAAGAAACACAGAGTATGAGTAGCTGTTAAAAAAAACTGTTCAGGTTTTCTGATGAGTTTATCATTCACTCAGTGAACAGCAATAAAACATTCAGCTCACGCTCACATGTGTCAGTCAGGTCATGTGATGATATATAGACTATTCACCCATACAGGAATTTTTTTTAATCAGGCTATTGCTGCTGTCTGTTATTTATATTTATACTCTTTGTGAATGTTTCTGCAGCATTTAAACTGTGCTGTTTGCTGAGCTCAGTGGTCTAATAATGAAGCTATTCTTTTTTTAATTGTTTTTTCAAGAAATAAAAAGTTTAAAACTCAAAAAAGTTTGAAATGTGCAATGCTTGAAATGCTTGTTAAACTGAATGCAGACATACTTTTAGATTAAATCTTATTTTTGTTTTTTCTCAGAGCCCAACAAGCAGTGACGATGTCTCAGGTAAATCCTCCTCTCAGCTTGTCTCCTTAGTTTTCATCATCACAGTTTTTTTTCAACCTCTTCTTCATGTGAAACAAGCTACAGTGAGTGTTTGTGGTACTGAATGAAGATTTTACTGGACTTAAAGTTGAAGCACATTCACATCACAAACTGATCTGTCAACATGTCAGATCAGTTTGTTAAACATGTTCTTTATTTGACTGATTATTCATCGTTTCTATGAAGAAAAACAATGAGATCAAATTTAAATCAGTTTGATGTGTTCAAGCTTCATCTGAGCTTTTCTCTGAGCTCTGTGGTTCAATGTGTTCATGTTTGCTGATCATTACTCTAAACTGGACAAACTGGATCCTCTTGATTCTCAGACTCATCGACAGACTCAAAGAAGCCTCAGGCTGAATCTGGAAATGTAGCTTCTGCTGCCAACAAAGAGGGTAAAAACAATCTGTTTAAATAAAGAGAGCTCACAAAAAAATACAGAAAGATTCTATTTATACTTTATAAAATCACCAAAAAAAATGGCTTTACTGTAGTTGGTCTTTTCATTGAGTAAACCCTCACCTTCATCAGCACATGGAGAAGTTGTTTTTTTTTAAAGCTGTAAAGTGAAAAAAACAATTTCCTATATGTTATTATAATTACAAAGTCAAGTCAAGTCAGTGCTGATGAGTCTCTCAGGACTTGTTGATGAAGGCAGCTGCAGCTGGAAGAAGCTTTGCTCTCATGAGGTGCATCCTACTGTTTGAGGTTTATTGAAGTCCTCCTACCAATGATTTTTTACTGTTTACAGAGCACATTTTATTTCTGATGAAAATTTAAACTTTTTTTCCCCCCTTTTAAAGTCTGTGAAGGTTCTCAGTCATCCAGGTCATCGTTACTTTCCTTTTAAAGAGAAATGCTGCTGAAAGTAAAGTTTCAGGATTAACAGACCGAACAAAAGCCTCCTTCCCTCACTGCTCACAGACACTTTCTTTGATCAGGTTTGTGTGTTTCTCTCAGACTCAGAGTCGTCTCAGAGCTGTGCGGTGGTTTTGGAAAACGTCACAGACAACATGTCCACTGATCTGCTCTCCATGCTGGTGGAGAACATCTCTGGGTTGGATGAGAACGGCTACAGCATGGAGAGGATCCTGGAATCCAACAAAGCTGTGGTCACCTTCAGCAGCCCTGCAGGTAGGAAGCAAACAGCTGGATGTTTCCACATACACAAACACAACAAGGCAATACAAGGACAAACATTCAAAATCCCCTTTAGGTTAACCTTTCAGTCTAATTTTAAACCTGACTTTATAAAAAATCACATATCTGATCTGGAAAAGTGTAGAGAAGAGCCCATATTCAGATATTTTGTGATTTATGATGGGTCCTCTGTTTTATGTCTAAATATGTTCACCATTCTGTTTGCTGCCACTGCATCTCAACATCTTTGTTGCTTTAGATACAACATAAAGTCGTCTACATACAAAATATGATCACAATATGCAGGACCTGATTTAACATTTTTCTGTGAAGACAGAGCACAGCCATTCCTTCTGTTATTCATTAAAACTGGATTCTAACCTTGAATCAGGATCTATTGCAAAGAACAGAAACAGCGTAAAACCACGCAGGTCTGTCTGTAATAAAATGAAAGAAATTTAGACATATATTGGCAATTAATTCATTTCTGACAACATGTCTATATAACAGTTTACAGCCCAGCTCTTTTCTCTCATCCTCTGAAACTGTTTCAGTCTGAAAGCATTAATCTGGACTATTTTGCAGATGTGGAGAGATTCCTCTCTGTAAGCCAGACCAGCACAAAGATCAAGAAACAAGGACTGACTGCTCGGCCTTTGGAGGCAGCTACAAACATCCGAGTGGAGAGTCCTCCTTTGACTGTGGTAAAAGGTATATATATTTTTAATGCACTTTCACATAGAAAGTTAACTATGCTGCACTGACGGCTAGGCAGAGGTGTAGTCCAACTGAAAAACACCAGAGTGAGTGATTTTTTTTCTCAAGTGAAACAATTAAATATTCACAGGTTGAGATTCACTTCTCACTTTTAATGTTTTTCACTCAACAAAGTTTATAAAGACAAAATGTGTGTTTTAAAATTACCGTATTTCCCGGACTACAAAGCGCACCTAAATATTAGCCGCACAAGCTAAAATCAGGGGAAAATCCTGTTTTGTACATACATTAGCCGCACCTGAC